GGGTATGGAGAATGGAAATCATTATCTGGGTACAGTAACTATAAATATACAACCCTGGACTGTAATCAACTCTGCACAAGAACAATCAATTCTTCCATAATCCACAGGGCTGAGGAATCAACTAACAACCTCTTGAGTAGCTCTGCAGGAACCACCTTTGATCTGGCTAAGCTTAGTAGTGGCTACATGCCATTCAGCCTAGTTTCATGTCTCGGGATGTACATTATTCCCAGTCATTCCATACAAGTATTTTCATCCATTACTCAAAATATCCCAGCCTTTTCTACCAAAGACATATACAAATAATTCTATGGATGATAGGTCACTGTCATTCATTCTTCCTAGACATGTTTTGGGTAGTAGAGACTACCTTAAAGATAAGCACTATCTGCATATTACCTAGAAACAGGTACTGTTTGTTTCTCTCAAATGCCAGTTTCTGTCACAGGTCAGCAGGAATCATATGAAACCAGGTAAAGCCCTTTGTGCTGACTCCCAGGAAAACAGGTAAAGTTTTATTTTTGTATTTGCAATAGTAGCCCTACAGTTTAGACTTGAAACATGGGATAAATCACAGCCTACCACCAGGAATTATCCCTTTTGTTGTTCTATACTACTGGACCATCAGCAAGGCCAGCTCAGGGGTGTATTAAGAAACAGCTTTAAAGGGCCTCTAGCAGGATATTCTTTAAGCAACTTTGAGAGCAGACGTGTTCTGCCCTGCAATCTTGGACAACAGGCAAACTTTCACAAGATGTCAGCACTATATCCTTCAAATATAGGAGTCAGACATAGTAAAATGCTTCTGCAGTATAAATTCATTTATTAAGTCAGGAACTATGAGTAATATTCCAAATATCTGAATATATGTATATATAAACTGTAGCAATTAGTTAGCTAGTTTTTAAAACACACTAGGAAGCTTCATGAATACTACGAATAAATAACTGAGGAAAGAAATCTACTAAGGTTATTCAAGCAATAATAATCATAAGCCTGTCATCTAGAGCGGTGGCACACAAAATCCAATTCTACTAACAAAATTCATGCCTCGAGTGGCAAGAAATAAAAGATGCAGCTATGCAAATTAACACCTACACAAGAAACTGATAACCAACTAACCATACTCCTAAACAGAATGGAGTATTTCTACTGACCTAACTGAACTTAATGATAGCCTGATTTTAACACAGATTTGATAGCTTTTACATCATGCCTTCTTAGCATGAATTTCTTCAATTTGCTGCATCTGTTTCAGAATTCATCTCAATTTTGAGATTTAGAGATGTAGAGATTTAGAGATTTTATGTTCTTAACTACAATTTAAAATAATTTTGTGCAAGAAGCCCAGCCATCAAGACATGTTCTATTACCTATGTTCTGTTAGCCTTTTTCTTTCCTATGATCCAAGATATTGTTATGGCCTTTTATTGTTACAAATCTGTTCTGTTCTTGTATAGCTGACACATGAAGCCTCTGACTCTCAGACCTCAAATAATTTGTAGACTGGGAAAAAATAAGGGGAAAATGCAGCTATCAATCTATTAGGAAATAGAATATCTCTTACTGTGAGTCTTAGGTGAAGTTCTTATCTACTAGACAAGCCTTTATCTAAATAAAGGAAAAAACAGCTTTTGCTAGAAGACTTAATGTCTATAATGGAAAAATTTGTATTGTCTGCAGGAACAGCCTGACAAATCAATAAAGGCTTAGACTCTTACAAAGACTGCATACAGCATGGTAGTACCCTGTTCTTTAGAAAAATTCAGTAGCACACCTGTCTTCATTCAAACATGTTCATAAGAAGTTTTGTACAAATCAGTTCTGTACCAGCTGAATACCTGATGAACTAAAAATAACTACTAGTAAAGCTGGAAAGAGAGAAAGGGGAAATAAATAGATTTTTTTCCAAACAGATGAAAAGGATTACACAAATAATTGCATAATAATCCTGCTTAAAAGTGCATTTACTCAAATATATGTATTACATATATTTGGGGAACCAGGGAATATTTCTACAGCAGTACCAAAACTTCTTTCTCAGAGGCACCAAATTTCAAAATGAAACATTAAGAAAACTCACATGTCAGAAATTATGAGTTAGAGGAAGGTCTGGGTTTCTTTTTTTTTCCACTGTCTTCTTTCTCTAGTGTTAAAATATGAGGTTAGAATACTAGGTCTGCCTCCTTTTTGTGGCATCTACAGCAATGTAAGACTGTCTAACTTTACTTTCCATGTGAGTACAATTGATATCTGTCATTTTAACTTTTGAAATTGCTATAGATTTGCTCAAACAACACCAGAGTCACTGTACATATATTGTAACTATTAGAGTAGAAAAATCAGGAATAAAAAATTAACTCCTGCTACTAGCCTTCAAAAATTTCTGGCAGTATTTTCTAGTCTTTTTATCCTAGAAACAAGAACAGACATTAATTTGCAAGTTTAATTCTAGCCACACAAGAGCTACGTCATGTACTTTCAAAAGACTTACAAGTACTTACCTTCCAACTGAAAAAAGTGCTTTACATGTGTAACTTGGTTTCCTGCTCAAGTTTTCAAGGTCATAAAGTACAATAACACCATCCGATCCACCAGATAACATGCTGGAAGTGTTAATGAAGAAGTTAAAACACTCATAATTTCGATATGCTCAATATAATGAGCATGTTCAACAAGACAACAAATCCATAGTACCAAAACACAGTGAATTACTTATGCACATTTGGACCAGCCAAAGCATATACTTACTATCTTCCCTCAACAGGTTCAATATCAAGGGTGTTGATACCGCTTCCGTGTATTCTTTCCACATCTCTATCTTTATTTAGTTCCAAACTTAAAACCCTACCCACAAAAAAGGAAAAAGATGAAAAATAAGAACAGAATCATTAAATGTTATTATGTAGCTCTGAACAGTTGAAACCTAGTTTCATGCTCCTTCAATGCATTTAAGTCATCCTTGCCATTTTTTTAACAAAACTACATAATACAGAGATAGAAATAAGTCTTGTGATGCTGGCAGAAAAAAATACTTTGTTGTTTGGAAGGTAAGAGAGAAATAAGTACATAAAACAGGCTCAAAGAAAAAGAAAAACTGCATTTTGGGTCAACATATTAAATAAAACCTGGAATGGAATTTGAAAACACTAAGAAAAAGAAACATTAAGAAGCTTGTAATCATCACAAATATTGGCTACTTTGACGCTTCATCATGTAGCACCCTTTCAGGCTTCATCCTGCTTGGAGTTACGGACACCTAGTGGACAAAGTAATTTCATTTACCAAGTTTACAGTATTTCCTTTAATGAAACAAAGTTTGTATGCTACATTTTCCACAATACTAAAAAACTAGGCAACCTCCAATGATGAAGCTTCCACAATAACATTTTCTGACCTGCAATTCTTAGCTTGTATTTCTGAATATGTTAATATTGAATAGTCAAAAAAAAGATATCCTACTGCATTAAATCATACTACCTGATATAAAATTTAGCCTTGAAACATGACCAGAGCCTCCTACGGCACCATTTAGTACAAAGCACAACACCACCACAACAAAAACATAACTGAGTATGTAACTGAATAGCTGCAAGGCAGAGTGCCCTGTCTCAGCTTCAGCTCAAGGGGCAAAAAATTCTGATGTGAGAACCTTAGCCTGCTACAGGCAGGACCCAACATCATGTCTGTAGACATGCTATAAAAGCAGCAGATCATTTAAGCTCTCTTAAACTATGTGAAATACAATTTTGCAAGAATTCACCTAGAATAAGAATTCTGATATACACAAGACACCCAATTTAAAACCTTCGAGCTCCAGATGGAATTTCAGGAAGCAAGAAACGCCCCTGTGGAAATGTGCTAAAATATATGACTTCAAAATGCAGCTATAAATAAAATCTACTTAAGATTTCCGATTTTTTTTTTAAAAATCAAAACTATAAAGTTTAGGAAGGGAAATGCTACGAAGACAATTGTCCAAGTAAGGTTAAGTCTGTCCAGTGTTCTTAACACTGAATGTTACATGAGGGCTGAGGGCACACAGTGGCATAATTGTGTTGTCAAAATGCACCCAGAAACAAGCTTTTGGAGCTACCAAAACTAATTTCAAATTTAATTATTTGCTTTGTAATGACACACCGTCATAAAGCCATAAATCACCAACACAGATCCAGAAGTTGTATGAGTAACTGAGGTAAGGTAGGCTTTATTTGATTTATCGTGAAATGCATCTGCAAAGCACATTCTGTAGTATTGAACAAATACTACATTATAACCTTTAGTAGGAACAGTAACAAATCCGTCTATGCTGCCACCGCTTCCCACAAAAACCGCTAAGAAACCCCCTGCAGCTGGTTCTTCTTCAACCTGCCAAAAGGCCGGCTTTGGGAAAAGGAAGGACGAGCAGATGCGGGACAAACACCCGCCTGCTCCCAGGCGGGGCGCAGCCGCACGCAGCCCGAGCGCGGGCAGGAGCCGCGCCGGCAGCACGGGCGGTAGCGGCGAGCTGCAGGGAGCTCTCTGCGCCCAGGGCTGAGCACACCGCACACGAGCACCAGGGCTGCGGCCCAGGGCTGCGACCCAGGGCTGTGACCCACCGCTGCTGGCCCAGGGCTGTGACCCAGGGCTGTGACCCACCGCTGCTGGCCCAGGGCTGTCACCCAGGGCTGTGACCCAGGGCTGCCGCTCCCCCGCCCCGGCCCCGCGCACAGGGCGGCTGCGGCAGCGCAGCCCCTCACCCCGCCCCGGGCCGCCCCAGTGCGGGCCGGGCCAAGCGAGGCTCCGCGGCAGGGCGGAGCCGGGAGCTGCCGCTCCGGGCCCTCCCCGCGCAGGGACACCCGCCCCGGCCGCGGTACCTCCGGGTGCGCTCGGCCCGGCGCAGCCGCGCGGGGTCGTCCAGCCCGGCCTGGCGGGCAGCCATGAGCCCCAACATGGCGGGAGCGCCCGGCCCGCTCTGCGCCGCGCCGCCATCTTGTGGCGGGCGCGGCCGCGATTGGCTCGGGGCNNCGTGTCCCCGTGCCGCGGTGTTCCCGGCGGGATCCCGGCATGAGCCGCGCCTGGCAGGCTCTCCGCGCCCTGCGGCTGCGGTTCGTGGGGCCTGCCAAGGAGCTGGTGGGCACGGACCAGTTTGGCAACAAGTACTACCGGGTGCCCAAGTACGAGAACCGCGCAGGTACGCACCGGGGCGGCGGCGGCAGGCGCGCTGGGGCGGCCGTGCCCTGCGTGGCCCCTCACTCACCCGCCCGCCGCTGTGCTGTGCTGTGCTGTGCTGTGGCTGGTGAACAGTTAGTTATAGTGGCGGAGCGGTAGCGGAAAGTACCGCGCGTCGGGAAGCACGTGCGGGTTTCTGGTGCTGTGATGCCACAGAAACCGTAAAGCCGCTCACTGGCGGGTTTCAGAGCGCAGCCTGGACCGGGTAGGTAGGCAGCAATTATTTGCTCCTCTTGGTAATTCGGAGCGCTTCTGCATAAGCTTTTAAATGCTAGAGTGCAGAGAAGGGCAGTGGAGCTGGGGCAGGGTCTGGAGCACAAGTCCTGTGAGGAGCAGCTGAGGGAGCTGGGGGTGTTTATCCTGGAGAAAAGGAGGCTCAGGGGTGACCTTATCACTCTAGGACTGCCTGACAGAAAGGTGTAGCCAGGGTCGGCCTCCTATCTTAGGCAACTTAGTGAACTAGAGGAAACGGCCTCAAGTTGCACCAGGGGAGGTTCAGGCTGGACGTCAGGAATTATTTCTCCACGGAAAAGGCTGTTAAACATTGGAATGGCCTGCCCAGGGAAGAGGTGGTTATCACCATCCCTGAAACTGTTCACAAAACAACTGGACGTGGCACTTACTGCCGGGGTTTAGTTGACATGATGGTGTTTGGTCATAGGTTGCGCTTGATGGTCTCAGATGTCTTTTCCAACCTAACTGATTATGTAATTCTGTGAAATTAATTCTTACATGTGCATTTATCCCCACTTCCATAGAAAATACTTTTCTAGGTTTCTGCCCGTGTTCCAGGAGTTTGGATGACCTTATTCTGTATGTAAGTAGAAAATAGGAAAATTCATATGGGAAGTACTACTGCTGTGATTTTTGTGAAAATTCTGATTTTTTTCTGTATATTTGTCACTGTGCTTTAGCTTGATCTAAAAAAACCTTAATCACTCAGCATCAGGAGAATGACAGAACTCTGAAAGAAATAAGCATGCCTTCTGCTAACAAAGATGAAATTGATGTGATTTTTTTTTTAATGAAAGTGTTCAAATGTTGCTTTTTCTGTAGTACAGCATGTATCAAAGTATTGTGCTGCTACAAATGTCATTTCTGTGACCTCTTAATTTGGATCCCCATTTTCTTCCTCCATTTCTGGTTGACAGACTATCATCCACTTGCCTTACAAAATGGACTTCCTTGTGAATGTTCATTATTGATTTAAGATACAGTGCTCCCTGACCTTTGTTGTTTGGGGTTACTTGGGTGTGGGAGATTCTATTTCCCCCACACACTGATTACTCATTTCCACTGTAATTTATGCCTTTACCTCTGTGAAGATCATCCTTGTCAGTATAGAAAAGATATGAGGTTTCATCTATTCCAGAGCAGGAGAGTATGCCAGCTCTCCCTCAGGCTTGTGGCTGAGGAGAAAAATGATTCTGACAGCAGTGAAGTGATTACAGATGGTTGCAACCACTGCCGTGGGTGGTGGTAACTAACTGCCTCTCAAAACATTTTTGAGCAGCATCCTCTGCTGTACAAACAGGGTGACACCTGGCATTTGTGGGCTTTATTAACTTTGTGAAGAAGTTTAATGATACGGATTGCGAAGGTAATAGAGATTGTGGAAGGTCTACAGAAATTAAAATGCACACCAAAAATTTCTAAGGGTTTGTTTTTAAAAGAAACTAAGAATTAAAAAGTGCTGAGAAAGCAATGCTCTCTTTTCAAGTGTTGGACAGCATTATTTGTAGTACGTTAGGAAGATCTGCTGCGTAGTTCACCCAGTGTCCTAACCATATGGAGACCAGTGCAGGATTGGGACAACACTAGAAAGAAAACGAGTTGTAGATGAGACGAGTGAGGTGTTGTGTGCAGGTTTCACTGCAAGGTCACTGCAGTGTGTCTGCACTGTGCTTTGCTGCCTGCCCTATGGATTTAGGGAGGACTGAGTGGGTCTGTCATAGTGCCGGGTCTGATGTGCTTGATCCCTTTGTACCCTACTGGATTGCGTGCTTTGCTGCCTGCCCTATTGGGAGGACTGAGTGGGGCTATCACAGTGCCGGGCCTGATGTGCTTGATCCCTTTGTACCCTACTGGATTTTGATCCAATATATTGCAGAGTGTGCAAAACAGGCACACTTGCTTTCTCTCTCTTCACATAGGGTAGGTCTATCAGGACAGGCTGGGCTTTGTTTCAGACCAACATCCCACCTTAAGCTGGAGGTGAGAGTAAATAGTGTAGGTAGTGTCTGTGCCACCTTCTGCTTCCATCAAAAACCACCTGACACCTTTCTTTTGGCCTGTCCTGGTCTTTGGCAGGGGTTTGGAGCAGCAGTAGTGGACCATATGATGCAAATAATTAATGTTTTCTTTCTGTCTGGTGTGAATTGTGCTCTGTTTTTCACTGAATTCAGGGTCCAAAACACTTTTGGAACCTGAGGCCTTGTCAGTAGTAAGGAGTTCGCAGGAGCAGGTCAGTGTATACAAGTGGTTGATGTTGAGTTTCCTAGGTGGTTGATGGTGAGTTTTCTTATACCTTCATCATCTCTAATTAAGAGAGTTTGGTTCTTAAATTTAGTCTGTTTTCCAGGACTGAATATCTGCAATACAGACTTTAGAGATGTTAAAGGGGTACAAAATTTTTAAGTATATGCTGCAGGTATGGCTTTCACACTGCCACAGCACCTAATATGCTGTTATTTTTCAAAATGTTTTATAAATGAGGATTTCTTCTTAAAAAAAAGCAAATTATGCACTCAAAAACTACTTTGAAATCCAAGTCAGCACGTGGTAAATAAAGGCAACACAGGATTAACAAAACTACACTTACTTTGATTCAAGTCACTACAGTCTCACCAGTATCCTAAGGTCTTGGATGTCCAGGTCAAACTCAAGGTGTAACAACTTTACCCTGAGACCATCTTTACCTCTGTCGTCATAGGAAAGTTAATTTGCCTTCCGGATTTTGCCTGTCTCTGAGTAATTAGGTTCTTAGAAGAGCCAGCAACTTGAATAGGTTTTGTTGGGATGAAGGGAATAATTGTGGAGATTAAAGTGTCAACGATGTGCAAGTGCTGATTTAACATGTGTTTTGTCTTCATTCAAAATGTTCTAATGAGTAGTAGTAAACATATATGACTTTGCAAGAGTATTGTAATTCTCTGTGGTGAATATAGAAAGGATTGGCCTTCAGAAGTGGAGGGGAGAAGGACATAAAATAATGCTGTTTCAATCTGGTTGTCTTATTTCTGTTGAAAGTGAGAAAGTGGGTGTTCAAAGACCCTAGCCTGTAAGAATTAGAAGTCGTTAGATTCAGTAAAGAAAATACTGGCTAGAAATAGAAAAAGAGTTAAGAAAAATTTGGGTGCCATAGAAAGGGAAAAGATCCTAAAAAAGTAAATATACTGTCAACAGGTATATGGTAGTATTCAAAATTAGAGTAGTTAATTGCCTGAAAGCGTGAAACTTGAGTCTACGTGTTTGCTTCTTATCAAGAACTCTTATTTTCAAGTGGGGAAAAACGTATCATCTTGAAAGTCAGGTTACACCTTCAACAAAACAGTAAGATGGGCTTATTTGAATGTAAAGATGGCTCTGTATTCAACAACATTTTGTAAGTGGTGGGTTTTTACAAGATCACCCTAAAGTGATGGCAGTGATAAAATGCAACTATACCAAGCTTGTCATGAGGGGAACATCCAGCAAAACTCATTAACTCTGAGATGACTCTTCAGTTGGTTGTGATAAAAGATGGGAATCGACGACTGAGTAGTAGTGATTGATGACTCATTTCAGTATCTTGGACAAATATTTCACTAAACAGACTAGACTTATCAATGTAAGTAAATTATTTTTCTTATTATATAACATACTGCCAGGGCATTGCCATAACTTTGGTACATGATTAATTGTTCTTGCAGTAGAACATGGAGTGGTACTTAATGTGTACATATATTTTTAATTGAAAAACAAATTCCAAATATGGTTTATGCATTTATTACAACCAAATGTGTCTTGCTGGAAATAGATGATTCCATTTTCTATTGAAAATAATGTATAAAGACTCTTAATAACCATTTTAGTTTTAAACACAGGAAGATAAGGGGCCCTAAATGCTCAAGATGTGATATATAATTTTGGCTCATTAATTAGCAGGTTATATTTACACATTTTCAATATCTTCATTTACCTTCTTATGTATTGTAATGATTAAGAATTAAAATTAGCACTGTAAAGTACCACATGTGCACATTTTTATAAGAACATTAGGTTATGATCAAGAAGTCAGTTTATTTCAAGGATGATGTAGGAATGTTAAAAGCATGGCTTAAGTTTTAAAGTTCTTTTTATGGGAGCAGCAGACTCAGGTTTGATTGGATTTGGACTGTTAGTTTACCAGGAATTGCTGGGAAAAGCAGGACACATTGTTTTCCATAGATTTTTATGTGTTGCACAAGCTCTGCATTAGAGGCCATATATGGCCTAAGCTTCTGATGCTATGAGCTAAAGTTTCTTAGTACTCTTATCAAATACCATTGAGAAATGCATGTGGCATTACCAAGTTTCAGTGGTAAATGTTGTTGCTAACAATTGAATGCAAGCACTGACTTCGCTGGGAAACATTTTCTTCACGTGAAATGCCTGCTCACATCTGCATAAGCCTGTATCTTGTGCAGTAAATTCTCAACAAACCAAAAATGTATAAATAAATAAGGATCTATATAAGGAAAAGTACTAAGTATTCAGCTGCATTATATATATATATATATATATATATATATATATATATATGTAAATTCTCCTATATCGGATTGAGTCCAGTCTTCAGTAGAAGTATGTACACTTTTTAGTGGAAGTTAAAGGAATCCTCCATTATAGTGTTAGTTCCTCCTTGTTTCCTGTTTTAGGTAGTGGCCTGTCACCTTCCTGTGCATCAGAAGTTTAGATAATTTCTACTTTCTTTCAAAATCT